CTGGGGGCAGGGCCCCGCCTGGGCCACACTGAGCACGCGTCTCTGCAACTGAACCCGAGGGGCCTCCGCGAAGACCTCGCGCAGCACGGTCAGGGCACCTGTGCTCCCAGCAAGTAACTCCCGGGGCCCGGCCGGCGTGACCCATGAGCCAGGAGGCCACGGTTCAATCCCCAGGCAGGGCACAGTGCGGGGCGTGCAGGAGGCGGCCCATCAATGCTTTTCTCTCATCATCGGTGTTTCTCTCTTTCCCTCTCCCTGCCTCTCCGGAACGAATAAAAACATTAAAAATAGAAAGAGAAACAAACTCCTGGGGGGCGTGGGCAAAGCGCCCTGGAGAGGGCGGGCCCTGCACACGGGACGAGGCAGCCAGGCCATCGTGGGCTGCACCTGCCACCACCCCCGGGGCCGTGTCTGCAGCAGGGACCCCACCCACCGCGGCACGGGCAATAGGCTCCATCAGCTCCCACGGAGACCTCCAGAGAAGCACACGTCAGAGAAAGCAGCGTTTACTCAGCCAGAACCCCAATCGACGTCCAGGCCAATAGCAGAGGCGGAGCGCGCCCGGCCGGCTCTCCTCCCTTCGGCGGCCGTCCCCAGCGTGTCCTCTCGGGGCCCCGCGCTCCAGAGCACCCAGCAGGCCGCACCCACACCTCGCTGAGCTCTCAGGAAACGCGAGACGTCATCGCAGAGAGAAATGTTCCAAAGCCACACAGGCTCCCCTGTCCACACGCTCATCTGAGGCGCACGAGCATCTCACAGCGCCACCCCCGCCGTGCCGGTCAGCAGTGCTACATCAAGGCCAGGGCCAGCGAGAGTCCCAGGGCAGCACCGCCTCCCACATGACCAGGCCCAGCGCTCAGGGACTTTCCAGAGCCGGGGGCAGCCAGGGACTTCCCAGCCGCACGCCTGCAGCCGTGGCAGGAGCCCAGGACTGGCTGCCCTGCCAGAGCCCAGGACGCCGTCGCCCACGCCACGGGCCTGGAGGCGGCAGAAACCCCAGAAGCATCAGTGGTGGGGTTAACCCGCCCGTCCCCAGGGATCCCCGGCCTCTCAAAAGGCAGCGTGGCACCCGAGCTCCTGCCCTCCCAGGAGAGACCCTGACCCCGAGGCCTGGAGGCCCGGCAGTGACAGCCGAGGGTCGGCGCAGCATCAATCGTCTGTGCAGAGGCACCAGTGGCCTCTGGGCAGCCGAACTCCGTCCACAGGCAGACATCTCTCACTCCCAGAAGGCACAGGGGGCGGGGAGCCCCTGCACCCCAGAACTCCTCAGGCAGAACTCAGCGAAGCCCGAAAACCATGTCAATGGTCCATAGAGGACCGCACTGCCACTCGCGCCGGAAGCAGAGGGGAGAGCCCCCCAGGAACCAGGCTCCCCACACAGCCTGACGGCTGCCACCCCGCCCCCCTGTCCACACCGAGGCGGCTCAGTCCCAGCCTGTGGTCTGGGAAGTCCTGGCAGGGGCTCACCTAACCATGGAGACCTGGGCTCCACACAAATAGCCCAGCCTCGCCAAAGGGGGCTGCCCGGTGGCACCGAGGCCTGTCCACTCTGACCACAACCTGCCCCATTCCCTGGCGGCCACTGCACCTCCTGAGCCAGCCTCCTGCAGGCCTCACGCCCGGGGGCCCTCTAGGCTCTGCCTCTGTGTCCACTCATCTCGCTGAGCCAATGTCCTCCAGGTCCCCCACCCTGGACAGGGCGCCCGCCTTCTTTACGGCTGAATAGTGTCCCGTGGTGTGGACAGGCCACCTCAGCTGGTGGACACTGGGCCACCATGACCCTTGTTACAAGTAACCCTCTGCAATGTCGCTGTAAAGGGCATTCATCAAGAGAGGGGACCAGGAATTGCCCTAACCGGTGTGGCTCGGTGGATAGAGCGTCGGCCTGCGGACTCAAGGGTCCCAGGTTCAATTCCGGTCAAGGGCATGTACCTTGGTTGCGGGCACAACCCCAGTGGGGGGTGTGCAGGAGGCAGCTGATCGATTTCTAGCTCTCTATCCCTCTCCCTTCCTCTCTGTAAAAAAATCAATAAAATATATTTTTTTAAAAAAAGAGAGAGAGGGGACCAGGCCCTGGCCAGCAGCTCAGTGGTTAGTGTCAGCCTGAGGGTCGCAGGTTCAATTCCCGATCCAGGGCACGAACCTGGGTTGCAGGTTCATCCCTGGCCCCAGTCAGGGCTCGTGTGGGAGGCAACCAATCAATGTATTTCTCTCTCATCAATGTTTCTCTCTCTCCCTCTCCCCCTTCCTTCCATTCTCTCTAAATAAAAAAAAAAAAAAAGGAAAAAAGAAAAAATATCCTCAGGTGAGGATGAACAACAACAAAAACAAGGAGCGGTGACCAGGCACCTGGACGACCTCGGCACCTCTCGGCCTCCACGCCCATCACACTGAACCCCCAACATGCGGACACAAGACACAAGGCACCTGGCCTGGCAGAGACAGGCCCTGGGGGAGATGCACCTGTGACCCGGGACAAATGTGCAGGTGACTCTGCAGTTTCCAACATCAACACAACTCAGAGTAAGAAAGCGTTGGTCTGAAGACGCAACAGAGAAGTCCCACCACCGACGGCTGGTTCCTGCACGTTCGGCACACGCTGCAGTGGCTTTCGGGCAGCACATGCCCCCCGACACCCCGGAGTAGGGGCTGCACCCATTCCACAGATCAGGAAACTGAGGCCACGCGCCGGGGCTCCATGGAAGGGTCTAGGTTCTGCGCGACTGGGTATCTAAGCGGGCACGTTAGAAGTGCCAGCTGCCTCTTTCACAGACGTCCGACAGACCCACGCGGTAGCGTCACGCAGGCCCACCTGGCACCACGGCCTGTGGGAGGTGGCCTCCCGGGGGCGGTGCCGCAGGCAGGCCTACCTCGTACTCTTTGAGGGTCCCCTTCCAGGTGCAGCCGTCGCTGGGGCAGATGGCTGGCAGGCTCTCCACCTCCCTGCGGGCAGCATTGTCAGGGAAAGCCTGGGGAGACAGCGACCCTGTGTGAGCAGCCCGCAGCCGGCCCCCGAACCCAGGCCCTGCCCGCAGCCGGTCCGAGCAGGAGCCAAGCGGGCACCTCCAGCTGCTGAGGGGCATCCGCCGCGGGTGCTACGACAGGAAACGCAGCGTGTTTTCTGTTCGTTTGGGTGTTCAGCCTCAGGACCCCTTACCGAGCTGCTCTCCAAAACCGAAACGCCTTCTTCGTAGATGCCCTCGTGCACACAGGCAGCGCAGTTCTGGGGCCCGGAGCTGGGGAGAGGGTGCTGCATGAGACCTGCTGCCCAGGACAGGCGGCGGCCCACGCCACTCAGCACGTCAGCACCGCCCCCGTCAGCGACAAGCACACCGCGGTGATGTTTAAACGTTCAGAACGGAGAGAAGATCGCTCCTGTGACGGTCACCCACCAGGGGAACGAGGCGCGCCCACTCAGCCCCCCCGCCAGCCAGCGCTGCACTGGAGATGTCTGTGCGCACGTCGGCCACAGGATGCCAGCAGAAACCACCGCACTAACGCACGCTGACCTCCACCTCCGCCCAGCCCTGCAGGGTCTCAACTCCACCCTTGTCTGCAGTGAACCTGTGCCCTCAACGAGGGTTACCTGGAGCACAGCCTGCCCGAGCCTCCCTGGCCGGCCAGCCCTGCAGCCACCGC